GATGAGCAATTAATGCTGCTCGATTGATACGTAGATTTTGGAAGCGTGAGTTTTCCTTAACTGATTAAATGAAAATTTCAGTACTTTTAAATGTTGAGATAGTGTAAGATTGTTGACGAATTCAAATTTAACATAATACAAGCACCAACCTCAAACTGGTAATGAATATTAAATCAAACTTCTCACGGTCTGCATCAGGTTCTGACAGTTGCGTGAAAACGACACGTGAAACTTTTATAACTTTGCGGTTGTGTGGAGTAATCAGCTGGATGGCGTGTTTGCTGTTTCAACTTGTGAATAATTAACAACTTCGAAGCCATGAACGAAGAAGAGGGTAATGGTTTACATAATCGAGTCGCGTCAATTGAAATGTCTTTACGCGACGTTATTCAGCCAGGAAAAGGGAGGAGCTGAATGGAAAACATTAATTTTATTTTTCAGTATCAAAGACTTCCGTGATTATTGATTGAAACTGGCGAAGCTCACGTTTTCTAAACACGAGCGGCTTCCATCTTCAGAGGTGGTTTGCTCGGCTCTTTACGTCGGAAGTTGTAACTCACTGGTGTTACTGCCATGGTTGTTTTGTTTTAGTTCTTCAGCTTGCACTTTCAGTTTTTTAATATTCAATAAAAGCTTCCTCAGCGTCAATTTCTTGTAAATTATCAAAAAAATGGTGCGATTGTTACGAACTCGCACCAACAACTGCTTCATTATTCATTACATCCCATAGAGGAAAACCATTCATTCACACATTCAAACACAGATATTAGATACTGAATCTGATAAGTTTTTTTAGATTTTTAGATCGTCGAGGAAAATATTTTTTCCTCACCAGATTCATTCTTCATTGATTCATAATTGTAATCTTGAAAAACCCTTCGGGTTTCAGTTGTCCAATTATTCACTAAAAACTTCTAAGCTTCTTGTAGGTTAGCAAACAAAAAACTGAAGCGTGCCATCCACTTCAGGTGCGATTGTTACAGAATCCCACGAGCAACTGTTTCATTATTCATTACATCCCATAAAGGAAAAGCCTTATATTCATTCCTTAGCTCAAGTTGACATTCTGCGATTTCCAGCTTTTAGCTGCAAATGCGGAGCATTTGAATGCACAAATTGTCTTGGCGCACTGATTTTAAAAGACTCGCTTTAATTTAATATTGCGGCTTATGGAGTGTCGCCTGAATTTATACGAGTTGGGTCTTAACTCAACAGCGCTGAGAGATTTTACTAAAAATTATTCAGTTTACTTTGGTGAAAACACTAAAGTTTTGGGGCTCATTGGGTTTTTGTTAGAATGTAATTTTTTCGTTTTTACATTGGAAAGTTGGATTTCCATATACTTTTCAGCTGAAAAAACCTGGAAATTCTGTTATAAAAATTGCTCCCAATCTGTCCATTAGAACTGCAAACAAAAGTTCACAAATCCGTCTGACGGATTGCAATTTCCCAAAGTATGACTATGAATATTTTACGGCAGCAACCTAAATTGGTCTTAAAAATAACTCAGTCGGAATAATAGGGAAATCGAAGCGAACTGTAGCGAAAGCCGCGAAATGAAACCAAAAATTATTGAGTTTGATTGATGAATAATTTATATTTGGGAAAGTGCGAAATGGTCGATTTGCCTCTCTTAGACTTTCATGAAATTGCTTATTTTTGTGTCGTAAATACTTTATAATGTTTTAGATAAAAAGCACTACTAAAAAATAATTAGAGCGATGGGACAAAAAATGTCATTTAATTGATCAAGTTATTAACGTCTTTTAAAATAGTTAACAGAAAAAAATTACGTGTAACTAATATTTTTGCCTATTTGATCTGGAAATATACAATTTTGTTTTTGCAGATCCAGGTTTGAAAACATGTTACTTTCCAAAGAAAAATTAATTTTTAATGACTTTCTTCTGGTAAACACACTGATCATGGTTAATTAGCTGGAATATTGCCTTCATTAATTTTTCATTAGTATTTTAATAGCGGCAAATTAGTGAGCAGGCATCATTAATTTTCCATCTGGCGCTCATTGTTTGGCAAAAGACCCATTTAAAATCAGTTATTTTTCTGTTTCCACGAGTCCGAGCCTTGGTGCAATTTGAGGTACTTTTTGTATGAACTTCTGTGGTTTTTTAGGTAAGCATTACTATAATTTGCATTCCAGTTTAATATTTTTTCACGGCTTTAGCTTCAGGAAATGCCATTAGGCCTCCTTTAGGACCTTGCAAATGACCTTTTGAAGGTAGGCATAAACATTCAGAATATTTCCATAGCTTTTTCCACTGCTTATTTGTCCGCTGAAGAAAAACCGGAGAAAGAGGACAAATTGCAGCTCAAAAAGCAATTGCCTCTAAGTAGAATAAGTAGACATGTCCCGCAACAAATGAAAATATATTTTTTCCTATTACAACGCCCAAACAAAAATGGAAAGAAATGTATTTCCGTTGCAACCAAGTAAATTACTGTAAATGTTGGGCATGTGGATATTTTGAAAAGCGTAAAGGACTGAGTTAGCTAAAAACACATGTTAATAAACAAGCGTTTTCAGGCAAAAACTTGTGTAAATAGTTTTGCTTAGGAATTTAATATCTGGATTAAAGCACGGACTTTAAATGAAGTGAACTGTCTGTCGGTTAGAATCGAGTATATAGTTCCTTTCGATGTCTTAAAATCTTCTACAAAAGCCAAGGAAAGGAAGCGGAATCGATATTCTCTGGTTTGTCTTGTTAGACTAGTTAGGCAAAGAGTGAAGCTCAGAATCATCATTGTAGTGGCCTTCTCTTCTATTAACAATAAAAGCTGTTCTGATTTATCCGCTTCCACTGTTGATTCCATTCTCTTCGTCTGCTACATCCTTCTTTTATATTGCTACTAGTTGCTATTGTTCATGGGGCAATGGGTTAGTTTTTTCGTCTATGCAACATCTTTTTTTATATAGATTCATTCAGCTTGCTGAATATACAAACGCCTTTAAACTCATTCGAATTGCTACTGGAGACGTTCTAATTAAAATTGAATGATAAAGTTCCATTAGTTATAAGTCAGCAATTAAAAAACATACGACTAAAAATTGCAGCGATAAAAGTCCTATACGTGGCTGATATTCAAACGTCGAGCTTTTAGGGCAAATATTGGCTATTCGCCGTCAAAATGCATCGTTTGCAAAACAAATTGGAATTAAAGGTGAGAAAGGCAAAGCGCTGCGACTGATTGAGTTGAAAGTCTATCTGCTTGCAAACTATGTGCGCTTAATCGAATTGCATAAACACGTATTCGCTTCCGAATCAATTTACACAATGGCAATCAATGTTGGTTATTTATAACAAACTGATTAGCTTGATGCCTCGCTCTGCATGGACTTGAATTCGACATGCATACATCAAACGGAACAATGCACTCAATCTGGTGTTTGTTAGAACGCAATTAAGCCCTTTATTTTAATTGAAGCCGTAGTAAAAGAACGAGTTCTATTTCAAGAACGTTGAATTGTTTTAGGTGCCTAAATAGATAAGTTAGACGTTGGGAATCGAAACAATAACAAGATTAAAAAAATGCGAAGAAAAGAAAATTTAATTGAAAAAGTTGGACCGCGTTCCTCGGCTCTTAACGTGACAATAAGGCCAAGATAATGGCAAAATGCCAGTAATTGCCAAATGCCAGAAATCAGCCATCCAGAGATATTAAAGATAATGAAAAAAGTTTAAGTCGACTTTCGAAGACAATCGAAATACGCAAATAATAAACAAATTAAACCAACTACTAGCGTTGATGAAAGTCTACAAATATTAATGCAAATAATCAAAATAATGTATTCGTTTAAGCTTAACAGGTTAGTGTTAAGGGCTTGTTTAAGTTGGCTGAAAATAAACTGTCCCTCTTCGCATCAGACACTCCTCAATCTCCTTGAGCTTATAAATAAAGAAAGCGCATGAAAATACGCTTCGTTAATGCCTCTTTCGTTCCTATCAGCAGGCTCTCAGATAAGAAAGCAAATCGATGTTTTCAGTGCAGATATCTGCAGGAAAATCCAAAAACCTGCAAAATAAATATCTCTATTTGATGCTTCCGTGATTTTTTGGAAACAGCCTGTAACGCATGGCAGGCGTTCGGCATTTTCTACGCTCAACGGATTTAATATTTTACGATGTTGGATATGTCTCAGGAAGGTGAAATCTGCAGCTTTTAGTGATCCATATTATGGGAAAAATGTCCACATTACTAAAGGATAAATGGAAGAAGTAATTTTAGGGCTAGGGCTACTTAAAAGTAAACTGTCGAACCAGACAAAAATACGAAATAATAACCTTCCTAAGAGGAAAACTATGAAAGAAAGCTAGAAATATAAATGGACTTTTTCAAAACTCCCTCGTACTGTTCTCATAATAATCGTCATCAGTTCACTTGCAACTAACAGCAGGATTTATTTTATGGTTTAACGAAACTGAAATGGGTTTTAATGTCGCTTTGAAAGCAGCACGAGCTTTTAAGCCAACAAAAGCTAATGCGCCTTCCTAACGCACACAATCAGCCCTTTTATTCCACCTTGGATATGAAGTTTACTAGCTGGAAATGTTCACTTTTGTATTAACCAATAAAGCAAATTCTGAGAAACTGTTCAGAGGTGACCAGCGAAGTATCATATAAAAGATCGGCTTTCCTTATGGTCGGTCCTCTCGGCTTCTTCGGGGCAAAAGGTTAAAAGGGGTTTTTTAGGGCCTGTATCAAGTTTCTTAAATGTTATGTACCGATGTCTGCGTATTTTTTACAAGAGATATATGGCTGAAGGTTCGGATATATTTGAGCTTTCAGGATAAGTTGCTCCATAATAGGCTGGTAAATCAGCATTTTATTTGTGTTGTGTTAAACAAATAGAATTATTGTTGCAGCACACAGCAAACTGATGAGTTAATTAAAACATCTTTCCTCTTGATAAGGATTGTTTAGGTTTGGCTTTGAAAGACAAATAACCGCACAGTACATATCGCATGAATAATTATACCGATATGAGTTCGCAATTAATCTAAATGTGCAAGAGATTTGTAAATCTTTGATAACACGAACTAGTGAACAGTTGATGGGTGAGAGCAAAATAGTAAGAACTTGCTCGCTGTAAAGTTTGAATTGCGATGAAACTCGAGCGCTAATTATAGACAGCAATTACTTAAATTAAACGGGTACACCATCTCAGTAATCTAGTCCAGTTGCTAATTAAAGGACTAGTTAAGAAGCTGATAAACAAATCCATAACTTTGTAAAGACGGTCCCAGTAATTGAAAGCATGACTGGATGTAGTGCTGATGCGACAACAAATATTGAGTTCCATGGCGAAAAAGTGTTTGTCTTAAGAGTGCGACAGGTAAGTAGTTGGAGGATTTGCTGCCATCAAATCTTTCCAAATATCGTGTGATTTCCACGTTTCCTCTTTTAAGGCTATAATTTGCTTTGGCCCCATACTGATAACTATAAGTCTGGGACTAGCAGAAGGTTATTCAGCAATTCTTCTGCCCCAACTGGTAAAGGATGAAAACTGGCACATCAATTCAGAATTGAGTTCGTGGATCGGTACGTATTACTAGTTTGGTTCATGTGAAGAAGCCGAACTTTATATCCAATGCGATATAATTTGCCATTCATGAAAACAGTCAAACCATGTATTTTATCCACAATAAATCCTTATCAAACACATCTTGTGTGGTCTGTGAATCTTCAAAACTGAAGGCTTTGTGAAATATTGCGTTGCTTTTTTACGATTTCTACCTTCGGGATTACGGAAAAAGTTAACTCAAACAAAACTGAAAGACTGGCAAAATTGAAAATGGGAAAAGTGGCGCTTTGTTATTATTAAAGATGCGAATACGTCCAGAGTTCTGAAGGAAAACTAATTTTTTAGGACAAACACTTTTATGTCCTTCGCTTGTGTATTCGCAATTACCAAGGTTTCAATTACAGTCCACCTCCTTTAATTATTTTTTTTTCAATTCTTAGCATATCGAATTAAGGACACACTTTCACTGGCCGATTTCCCACTTCAGTTCAAACAATAAAGCAATTGATTACTTTCAGCTCTGAAACGAAAAGTTTTAAATAAACCGATAAATTTCAGCATCAATTGCAACCCTTCCAATGTCGGTGGGTTGTTTACTTGGAGGATGGTTGATGGAAGTAATAGGCAGAAAAATGCTCCATTTGGTAACGTGCGTTCCTAACATTATCGGATGGTTGTTAATTGGATGTTGTGGCCAAAACCTAACAATGTTGCTTGCAGGGCGATTTATTACAGGTTTTGTAGTTAATTGTTTAACAGTGTGTGTACGAATGTGAAACTTGTTTGCCCAATTAATGGAAATTCAGTACTTTGAAATTAAATCAAAGTGCTTAGTTGCACTACGTATTTACGGCTGAATATTACGAATTCGTGGAGATGTGGTTTAAGACGTAGAGACACTAAAGTGAGCAGATCATCAACGACTTTGGTTAGCCACATTAACCTTTTATGCTTTTAAAACTTTTCAAAAATTTAATGTCTTAAGGAGAGGCAGTCCAACCAGAAGCAATGATGTTAAGTAAATTTTTGTATTCTAGGAATGTGTGTCGGTGTTCTCAGCCCTGTTCTGGTCATTTACGTAGCTGAAACCTCCGATCCATCATTCCGTGGCTTTCTGCTTCCAGCTCTTTCTCTGGCTCTAAATATCGGCATTGCTCTCGCTCACATTTTGGGAACATATCTCGAATGGAAACTAGTCGCTCTCTTAGCGCTCATATTTCCTTCGGGCTGCTTCATCCTGATGCTTTTTGTGCCCGAATCGCCGACGTACTTAATCAAAAAAGGGAAACCTGAAATGGCAAAAAACGCATTCGACTGGTAACTTAAACTAAAATCAGATTTAGCAGCGCTCTTTATAAAAGAAATTTCTTTAATAAATTTCAGGTTTCGTGGGCATTCTGTGGAATCAAATGCTGAATTTGCTATTCTATCATCCAAGCAGATAGATGAATCGTCTTTGTCCAGACAGACTTTTTTGCAACACCTGGAAGTGTTCAAGCGGCCGGAGTTTTACAAACCGCTGTTGATCTTAATGATCTTCTTCAGCACGATGCAGTGGGCTGGCAATAATCCCATTGCTTTTTACACGGTCACTATTCTTCAGGGCTCTTTGGGAGACTCTTCAATCAACCCATACACATCGATGCTCATTATGGACGGTGTGAGAATATTTGCTTCGGTATTGGGTTGCTTTGCTCAACAGTATCTGAAGAGGCGAAAGCTCATGATGATCAGTTGTTCTGGAACGACAATTTCCCTACTGGTTTTAAGTCTGTATTTGTTTCTAAATGGGCGATATCCATCTGACGCTGACCTATCATGGATTGTAGTCGCTTCCTTTGTGGGCTACGTGCTGTTTATCAATGCCGGTTTGCTGCCTTTGCCCTATTCAATGAGCGGAGAGCTGTTCGCTCAATCTTCTAGGGGTTTAGGCAGTGGAATCGTCACTTTATACAATATGATTCTGATGTTCATTTTGGTAAAAATTACCCCCTCATTGTTCGAAGGGTTAGGACCAGCCGGAACGTTTCTGCTCTTTGCAATTTGCTGCTTTGTTGGTATGGGGCTGCTTATAGCAACTCTTCCAGAAACCAAAGACAAGCCACTGCATGAAATAGAGGAATGTTTTAAGGGAAGCGATGCACGGTATCCAAATCTTCGGCAAATGCTTTAAATGTTTCAAAAATATAAAGATTTGGAAGCACGTTTAAAAAAACTACTTTTTGGTTAGAATTGTTGAAACTGAAGGGCCAATTTTTTTGGAGAGAGATATTCGCTTTCAGATACTAAAAATTTAGAAGACATTTTGGGATATCTACCACTAGAATCAATAAAAGGATTTTAGAAAGAAAAATTTAAGCAAACTGCAAATCGCTATCGATGTGATTATAGCCGATAAAATAGATTCTGCTTCATTGAAAATTGGCTCTTTTGAGCCCGTTTCAGATGTGACTTTAAACCACTTTATTGGTGTTGTCAGTTCCATTTGATTTCGCCGACTTATAATTTGATCAACCTTTCTATATGATTAAGACCATTTTTCTTTCGGTTTTCCATATATGTTGAGGAGGAGCAGACCTCCCGGGAGCTTTGCACCCGCCAGTAAAACGAATTGTAGAGCGATTGGTAAAAAAGCCGAAAATGCAAATATTCCCTTTCAGAAGAAGCACATTATCGAGACTTCTTTTGTGAGTTTATTTTAGGCTTTATTGGCGGCGAATTACCCGGGAAATTGACAGTGGAAAAAGGGTTTAAGTTTTATATTTTCCAGGCCATCAGCTATTCATGGGCTGCTGATAACATGATGTAGCTTAATACGGTGTTTTTCTGCGGGCTTTTTTTAAATTGTCTGCATAATAGTCCTTGGAACTTATGTAAACATCTCGTCAAAGTCCAGATAGGATAGATATGTTCGAAATCATATTATTAAAGTTGTTTGTGTACATTGAGGCATTCGATATTTATTTTCCTGTAATGAGCAAAACTCCCTGAAGCTTTTTAGAGCGTCAAGATTTAATCTCGAATAAACAGTACAGTTGCAACAGCTTTCCAGAAATGATGAAACCTGGAAGAAGGACAGGAAAATGTATTTTCAAAGTAAATAATTATGGTAAAATAATTTTTCCCAGTTTAAACAAACATACTATTAAATGTAGAGATTTTACGATTTTGTTACAATATAAAAATTATAATTTTTACTAAAAAGCATTGTCAACTTTTATATTTTGTTATTTCTTTGTGTGGTTTCTTTAACGCCCCAGTAATATAAAATTGCCCAGCTGAAACGTGATTTAAAAATTATTTGAGCTTTATTAAATCAAAGAAATTTCTGATTCTTAGAGCCATCTCAGTATGAACTTACCAATTGAGCACAGCGGACCCTCACGCGCTCATTTTTCTCTAAACACTCACACCGATTCTAAGACAGACAACCTTTACTATTTTGAGTGTGTTAAGTAAATGTATAGAGATCCAATTTTGTCAAAATTTGAGATGTTTCTAGTTTTGCAGAGCCGATTGGATATGAGCTTACAAAATAAGCATAGTAGAAATATACACGCTGACATTTAAAATTCGTTTACTTCAAATCAGAACGAATATAAACTTGATATTCTGGTAGATTATAAGTAAGTCCGGGTATTCAACTTCATACTGAGCCAATTTCAACACAATATGAATGTTGGTTGATTTTGCTGAGCCGTCTGAACGTGAGCATGCTAAATAACCTCAGTAAACATTTACACTTATTTTTTTTGAATTACTGTTCTCAAACTGTAATTTGTATTTCATTCATAATTTGTAAGTTCAAAGAAGATAAATCGGGCCTCATCCTGAACAAACTCGGATAAAGTATGAACCTGCCAAATAAGCACAGTCGAAATCTATATTTTGATATTTGGAAAATCGCGCACTTAAATCCAAACCACTTAAGCAGGCAATTTTCCGCATCCGTTCAGTCATGCGACTGTACTCCATACCCAGAAATTTGAAGTAAAATCCGATCACTTCCTGATTTTCCACAGACAACTGAACGAAAATCTCCAAAGAAAGTAGTAGTTTTTCACAATAGACATTTACACCTGTTTTCAGAAAATCGCCCAACCTAAACCATATAGAGGAGACTTTTAATAGTATGCGTCTTGAGAACTAAAGAACTAAAAAACATCTTATACAAGTTCCGATAAAATCAAAGAACTTCCTAATTTTCCAAAGCCGTCTGAGAATTAACCTGCTAATTAAGCATACCAGACACCTGCGCACTTATTTTTTAGAAAAACGTCCGCTCCAAACCGAAATCAGCAGCCATTTCATACTTTGAGAATTTTAAATGAATTTATTTGGCTCTATACAGATCTAAATCTGTAAAAATCTGAGCTTTTTCTGATTTTTGAGTGCCGTCTGAAAATTAACTGACAAAATAAGCACAGTAAAAATCGAAACGTTTACAGCATTGCCCATTTTAAACCGAAAGTTCCAGAAATTTCATATTCTGAATGCGTTAAGTCCAGGCACTCGCCTGTATATATAGAACACGAATTAGAGTAAAATCTGAAAGCCTACAGATTTCTCGCAGCTTTCTGAACACGAGAGTGCAAAACAGCTCTATAGACATTTAGACTCATTTTCGTAAAATCGTCCTGCTGAAACTAAAATCAGTGTTCATTTAATAATTTTCCAGCTTAACGACATTTAATTGTTCTTCATACTGGCCAAATATGGATAAAATCGAAACAGTTTCTGATTTTTCAGAGCCATATAAGTATGAACCTACAAAAGAAGCACATCAGATCCCTACACAGTCATTTTCTAAAAATCGGTAACTCTAAGCCAACAATCGCAGCACACATTTCATATTTTGACCGTCGGAATTTACTGCATTTGCCTCTATAACGGTTAAAGTTCGTCAAAAATCTGAATAGGTTTATGTATTTTTAAAGCCGTCTGAGTAGGTGCCTGCGTTTTTTACAAAAAAACAGATTAATCGGCAATTTTGTTTCTAAAAAATGAGTTCGGAAAATTTACTTGCAAAAGTATTACATTTATGTAGGCGGGAAGAATATAAGTTATAATTTCTTCACAAGTTAGAAGGTGTTTTTCAAACCCATTTACATCCAACTTTCCTTTAAAATGTTTAATAATTTCCATGTTTTTTTGGAAAGTTCCATGTAGCAGATAATATTTTACGATTCTTCCTTGCTGCGGCCTTAATAACTCTTCGAGGGCGTGTTGCCAACTTCGAGCTTTATGTCCCTTGGAGTTATCACCTTATGTAATAAACCCTTTAAGAGCTAAAATATTACTCCAAGGACTTTCCCATACGTTTATTTTATTTCAGTTGAAAACTTCTCTGTGTCCCGTACCTGGTATGCACATATCAGCGCTAAAAACTTTAATCTATAAAAACGCAGAGATTTGCAGGTTTGGAGAGACAAATAGCCAGCACTAATTGGCAGCTTTCCATCGCATTCTAAACGCCTCTTAACGCTTTATTGTTGATTCAGCCATCGAATCTGTGTTTGAATTACATAAAATCAAACGGCCATTGATTGTCCCAATCCCAATATATCATCAGTGTGTGCATATAGGAACCAGGTCAATAATAAAGCTGCATATTCCTCATCTCAACAAATCCGCACCGAAGTTCCAGTGGGATGGCACGCCATTATGGCCCTTAAAATATCCAGGAATATGTGCGAATTGAGTGGCCGCAATTTGGATCCAGATAAGCAGTAAGTCACAACATTGCACATGCACCGTTAAATTACTGCATGTAATATATTAACATGTCGTGAATACTGAAAGACGGTTGTTGTGATGGATGAAAACGTTATTCGGTTATTGAGGGGTTATTCGAGTTATTTTCTTAGTAATGGATGAAGAAAGTTTGGAGTTTGGGTGCTTTCACCAGTTTCTTGAGTATAAAGCTAAAATTATGATTTGATATTTCACAATGCTGAAAATGGGTCATCCCCTGAATATTCCAGAGGAGTATCGCAAGGTTACCCCAGATGGTCACACGAAGGGAGCGAAATAGGTCAAGTCGGCCAACTGTAAAATTGTGCTGATAGCATATCAGTTTACACTTACCTACGTTTCCAGGTCTGAGAGGATTTTAATTATAAACTCGAATTGGCTTTTTCCAAGTCCATCCTGCCCGTTCGCTTCATGTCCGAAAAATGTTGTCACGCTTTTAATGAAAGAATACCATTAATTTCGGAGCATCCACAGATCGGAAGATCGCAATATCCACAGTGCGACCGACTTCACATCCGCTGACAAAATAGGTTTTGCCGAAGAGCCTTTTAGATTCAACAATGATATCAGGACTGTGTCAGAATTCCCCAACAGAGAGTTTGTTACTCGGCTTAAGGAGTTTGGCCGGATCTCGGTTCCATTATGGATAAGTCCTGATTTAAGTGCCAGATGGAAAATTCCTTTGTGTCGAAACATTTTCGTCAATCATTCGGGCAAATGGAAATAAACTGCCACAGAAAAAACAGTCCCTAAATGTATTGGAAATCTTAATTTGCAATTTCTTGCCAGTGGAATGAGATGATGAATATTGAACAAGAGGAAATTTTAACCACGTTATTGTGCTTGGGAATATTTTAACTAATCTGCACACATTTTCCAAAACTCCCACCTGCGTATCGGTAAATATATAATGAAATCATCGCCCAAATTAAATACCGAGCAAGGGTGTCGCAATCAAGTTCGTTTAATTAAGTTGAGCCCCTCATATTCAAGGTGAATTATCAACTCGTTGTTTATGGGAACTTGGAAGGGGTTAATTTTATATGAGGAATGCAATATGCTTTGGCATTTAGAGTGTGGCTTAAAATTTCGATAGAGACTGCGGAAAAGTCGCTTTAAAACACACTTTGCCACCGGTTTTGAAAACAGTGGTTGGAGAAAGGATTCAATTATCTTATTCATCCATCCACTTAATTTAAATTGAAATTATTAATCAGATGAAGCGTTGAGTGCCAGTAGCAGGAGATTTTTTGCCCCAGAAGAATACCCAAAAATTGTTGCATATAATTGGTTAAATCTTCATTTGAAAAAGGTGTTTTCCGAGCAACTTTAATTTGCCACAAGCTTCCTAAGACCACCGACCATGAATTCAACGTGAATAGCATTTTACTGTTAACTCTATTACTCACTTCGGGCCATTTTACATTCAGACCAAACTAGATTAAACTCCCAATTATCCAACCTAGTTAGAAACTGGACTATTGCCATCCAAAATCCATCAAACTCCGCCAATTAGTTCCATCTCAACATATTGCAAAACATAACAAGATACTCAAACTAAGAATAGATCCAGTTTCAGGTCGAATCGATTTCTAAAGCATTAACAGTGGTCGAACGCTCCCAATAACTCTTCAATGCTTCCAGCATTCAGTTAGTTTTGTAGATATTTTTGCAAGATTATGCTTTCGGAAACAATAGACTGATCTAGAATTTGAACCATCTATTGTGCAAGATAAATCCGATTAATAAATGCAATCTATCGCATAGAATCGGCGAAAACAGACAGGCTGATTGGGAATTAACGGCAAACAAAACAATCCTGAAATATAAACAGAAACTTTCGAGAGTCGGGTATTTGCAAATTTATCCAACAGGGTTTGTCTTCAAGTCTTCATATTTACGTTGTGGGTACACTGATTAAGAACTGTCCTTATTTTGTCATTTAAATCGACTTATTTGGTTCTATATTTTCCATAGCAGTGGATTTTTATAAAGGTTTGTTGAGGAAGAGGAGAAACTAATCACTTCCTGACTAATTGAAGTATTTCCGCTTAGTGAAGTTTGCTATAAGATGAATTAAAATAAAATTCATAAATGTAGCTGCTGGAATGAAACTTTGCGCTTTTACACATTTCTGAAAAATTTGGTTAAAACCAAATAAAGCATTTCAAATTACAATTATATTTAATAAAAAATCGTTCAAATCGGCAATTCTAACAACTTCATTTCTTAATCTTTGGTTTAAATACCAACACAAAAGCCAAAAAAATAAATTTTATTCTCTCTAAAACTTCGGAACCCCTCGCAAAAGTATTGAGTAATGCCGAAAGTTCGCACGCTTACAATGGACTGTTTTTCTTCTGATTCTTTCCGATTAACTGCACACGAAAACAACTTGATATTAGTAATACCGCTGTAATCCTTAGAAGCCCTTAATGTTGTTCATTAGTTTATTCGTGCCACGTAAATGACCTGGTGTGAAATCCAGTCACGCTCTCTTAACTAAATTATTGTAAGAATTACAAGTCAGCTCGGCCATTTGTACAGCTCGCGAGAGCTTTTCAATTGCGAATCCAAGCAAATTGTTCGATTAAATAAAATATATTTACGAGATAATTGATTTCGTTCAGATTTTTTCCGTTTGAGGGCAACGGTTAAAATAAAATCAAATGGCAAAGGAAAATAAAAATAAAACAGCAGTTATGTATAAAAGGGTCGGTTAATAAGCGAGAATTGTAATCATAAAGCCGAAGCAATAGCTTTAAGAAGCAATAATTCTGCTTTCAAAACCCGGCGTAAACTTCCCACCCAGTTACCGCCTTAAATCAGTTTCAGCTTAAAATTAACGGCAGTAAATTACGTTCAAAGCTCCCGTTTTTTATAGGAAAAAAGTGTACAGTTTTAAAAATTAACGGGTAGTAGGCACATAAACCTCACCTAAATAACACCATCGAGACTTCAACTGTTGATTAATTTACGTACGGAAATCTCAAAGCTTTTCGATGCTAATAAAAATATCTACTGAATTCCCCTGATAAAAGTAAAATTGAAACTTCCCCAATGAGACTCTGTTTGGAAAATTAACCCTTGTACCTCAAGTTAACCCTCTCAATGTTTGGGACCACATTTGACCCTATCGGATTTCCATTGACGATCAGTAAGTAACAAACATTCAGATTATTTGAATCAGCTCACTTTCAATAGGAATAATAAATTCGGGTTTCGAGTTTGAGATTTTGAGAACTATTTTACAAAGGGCAGATTGCGTAGAAATAATCATCCTAGTCACAAGCAAAGGTTATCTGGTACTTAAATCGGCCAATTTCGAGTGTAACAGCTTCTGTTAAAAAAGGTTTAGGCAAAAATATACTAGACAACTAGAACTTTTTCAGGTAGCAAGTTTAATTGGATGGACTATTTGAGTAAAAACATTCAAAATTATTAACGAAAGATCGGTGGGCAGTTAGGACAAATATTTGGTTGCTCAGAAAGAATCGTCCGTTAGATATCCAATAGGAAACTTAAAGTGTTTTCTGGAATAACAGTAAATCGAACACGTGCCCCTGGTCCAAAATCAACTACTAGAGCCACTTTCGCAGATTCAACATGCATAGCGTTCCGAACCATTTTTTTTTATTTTCAAAAGAGGCGAATGAACACCGAAGAAAAACCGAAAGTTACGTACCGATGGTATTTGCTAAGCGATCGCGCTATTCCCGAAGGTTTTCACGTAGCGTGATTTTCCAACAGTTTGTTTTAAATGGGCAAAAATACAACTGAAAATGCAAATACGAGCCTCAACTTGCCCATTTATATCTCGCTTTCCAACATTTTATGTTTCCCGAAATAGATGTACTTAGATGAATTATTCAACGAAGAAGGAAAATCTAAGATGAAAATGCAAACGATATACTGGGAATTCCAAAATTAGCTTACTCAACGATAAACTTTTAAGGAACAGTATTCTATTATTATCAGTCTTTAACTGGCCCAAAAATGGAAAAATCGCATAAATATGTTGTGCCATAGAAGTGAAATTAAACAAAAAATGTTTGATATTTGCGAGTTAATATTTTATAGCAAAAGAACCGCAACATTTCTTCATCTCTTAGGATGGATGATGAAGATTGAAGCTCCATGAATGTTGCCAATTTCCGTCCCAATTGAATTTTTTCTGTTAAAAATAATTTTTTGCAACTGTTGCATCGCTCCATTTTGGCCATGTTTGTGTGTGTTTTTCATTAAACAGTTTCACAAAACTGCTGTATTTGAACAAAGCTAAAGAGCATGGATACAATTTATGCTTGTCACCTCGATTTGTTTTATTATTGCCGCCATTTTAACATGTTTACTGATTTTTCAGTTTTCCAGATTTCTGCATAAAAATTTAAAAAATAACTAGTATTTACTACATTTAGCAGTTCTTTATAAATGAACAGAACACGCTCTTTATGCAATTTCCTGTAAGCGAAACTTGTTGAGAACAGCCAAATGGCCCGACTTTAAAAATATTCTGGATCTACCTTTATATTCAGAAAATGTTATCATAAATCCTCTAGGCGTGATTTTTTCTGCAATCCCCAACGCCCCACTATTCATGTAGATAACGTTTTGCGTTGCAAAAGTTCCAATTTGCCTCTGCTTTGTTCTCGCCAATGAATAGAGCGAAATTTCAGATAGAAATTCAGTTTAGAATAAGTTACTTTATTGCTCAAGTTGCCATAAGAACTATTTTAAGCAACAGTTTCAAATATAACAAATGGAGCATTGATTAAACGTACGCGCGGATGCAACAGATCGTGTTTAGTTTAAGCTTCAAATATGGATAACTTGGCACATAACATGGCAAAACAAACCAGGAATTAATAAGTCCTGCTTTGAACCGAGAACCAATTATTCGAATTTCTCTAATAAAATAAAGAGATGCTTTCAAGATGCATTAGAATTGCGCTCTTTTCCATTACCATTGACTTCCAGGCGAGTAAATTGCATGTGCTTTGGCTAGAACAGGAAAATGGGAATTGATTCCAACTGTTCTGATTGCATTGGAAATCTGCACAAAGATTTTTATTAAAAAGGATCCGGAAAGTAACAGGAAAAAACAACATACGGAAATTCCCATTTTCAAATTGCTCCGAAAATGCGATTAATCGTCGGTTTTGTACGTTGGATGGAGTATAATGTACACTTTGTCAACGATGTCAGCTTAAATGGTACATCCCATTCTGGATGTAGACACGGGTAAACTGCTTTGTAATATATAATAGACTCTGAAATTAGCATGTAGCTCGGCCAGACTATAAGTGACCTACATATATTACCATATAAATGAAGAAACACTATCCAATTTAAACATTGACGAAATATTGAATTAACTCATTTTTGGGAATTATAATTTATTCTTCTTTTTCCGCTCATGATTTGTGACATTCAAACAAATCTTCCAAGTTATTTTCAAACAGCTTGATCACACAACTAAATAATATACGAATTCTGCACCTTCAAAATATATAAAATCTCCTAGCTGAATCCATTTTGCTCCGCCAAACTGATACTAAAACTTTTATTAATCCGATGATAAAACTTCAAACGATTTCGGACACTAATTGTGAAGACGGAATGAGTCGCGTGATGATTTATTAAGTTTCGGATGGCGAAGACGAAGCTAGGGACCAACCGGAAAGTTCCCAACTCTCAAACTCTAGCTGGAACTTAAATTTTCTTTATAATATCATCAAATTGCGCAAAAAGCCCCACTAACGCGGGTTACCTATATAAAACTTGCTTATCCCTTCTATCATAAATAAAATGTGAGTGTTGTTCCAACACTTTACGTTTGTGCTTTTATTCCCTCTTTTTTATTTGCCAGTTATTGGTTTTTATGGAGGCATCTTTCCCGGCAACAACAGAAAAATATGGATAAATTGTCAGGAAAAGTATATCGTGGGGGTAAAGTGAATGAACATATTGTGTAATGTGAATGTATGAGAAGTTCTTTAGGTGGAACTGAACAGTTTGCTTCGAATATTTAGCAAAAGCTGATCCAAATTTACAGATCTAGGGTCTGCAAAATCGGTTTCAACCGGGCAGAACGTAAATCTCCCCCTAGCATCAGATGTTC